GCCCAGTGTCCGAGGAAGGGACCAGGGACTCAGGACAGCTGCTGTTCACCAACCAGTGAGAGTGCATTTCGCTACCTCAACAACCACTGGAACAGCTGTACCACCTGAGTATCAGCGCTATGCTCTGCGACTCAGTGTTACACAGGAAGGAAGGTTGGAAAATACTTACAAATGTTACAGTATCCATATATAAGTTTTTATAGGCCATCGACTTTTCATCTTGCAAGCCAGATGTTTCTGACACTTTTACTTTAATTGTTCCGGGAAAAACCTTTCCTGAAATTTAAGCAGAATCTTTTTGTGATGTTTAATGAAAAGAGGGTCATTTTCACTTTTTAAAAAAACATACTTTAAAAAAATTCTAAGCAGTATGATGCTGTGGCAGGAAGCCTGGAAATGCGATCAATGCTACCCCAAATCCTACCCAACCTAACACAACCATTTTTCACTTTGGTATAAGGTATCCCTGACTTTTCAAAAGTTTGCTCTAGCCGAAACCGGTTTGGCTCACTGGGTAGAGTGTCCGCCTGCAGGCTGAAAGGTCCCAGGTTCAATTCAGGTCAAGGGCATGTTCCTTGGTTGCGGGCACATCTCCAGTAGGGGGTGTGCAAGAGGCAGCTAATGGATAATTCTCTCTTATCAATGTTTCTAACTCTATCCCTCTCTCTTCCTCTCTGTAAAAAATCAATAATAATAATTTTAAAAAAAGTTCACTCTACGACACTTCACTTTGACGAAAGGGCTACCTACATCAAGACCTGTTTCGTGAACCAAAAGAAACCCTAAGAGGATTTTTGCTTTTATAAAATAAAATAAAAAAGGTGAAAATGAAAAATAGTGTTCAGCATTTTAAGTAATGAATTAATTTGTTAATCCTCACCCGAGGGTATTTCTTTTCCATTGATTCTTAGAGAGAGTGGAAAGGTGGGGGAGTGATACGGAGAGAGAAAACACATCAGTTCAGAGCTGGGGATCAAGCCTGCAACCATGGTATGTGGCCTTGACCTGAATCAAACCTGTGTCCCTTCAGTCCGAGGGCCGATGCTCTAACCCCTGAGCAAACAGCAGCGGTCAGCATTTTGCAGCAAGCTGCTATAGAGGCAGTGCACACCCTGAGCAGTGAGCGTGGCCCACCAACTCTTTCCCTAGAAACACCCCTCAGCATCCCGGCACCAAACTGCCAGAGCTCTGCATGGTGTCTGCGCTGCATCTCTACGTATTTTGTGCTTTGTTAGAAGGATGTCTTCTGAGGTAATTGCTTCTTCACGTTGCACCATTTCGGTGTACAAAAGGTTTCAGTGGCAAGCTCTGCTTTCAGATAACGGGAAATCTATATTTCTCCCAGCTCCTTTTTTTTCTTATGCATAGTTTATACCATTATAATTCCAAGTTTATAGCGTGAATCTTCTCTACTTATATAGACTTACTTATATAATAAAAGGGTAATATGCTAATTAGACCTGGTTGACCAGACATCTTCAACTTCCTTCTGGACAAAGCCATGGTGGTGGGGCCAAGGCAGAGGTAGAGGTGGTTAGGGGCGATAAGGCTGGCAGGGGAGCAAGCAATTAGGGGGCAACCAGGTCAGCAGAAAGGGCAGTTAGGTGGTGAGAAGGCTGGCAGAGGGGGCAGCTAGGGGGGAACCTGGCCGGCAGGACCAATTAGGGGGTGACCAGGCTGGCAGGGGACCAGTTAGGGGGTTATCAGGCCAGCAGGAAACCAGCTAGGAGGAGATCAGGCTGGCAAGCAGAAGCAGTTAGCAGCAATTAGGAAGGCAGGTAGAGTGGTTAGGGGCAATCAGGCCAGCAAGCAGAGGCAGTTAGGGGTTGATCAGGCTGGCAGGCAGAGGTGGTTAGGGGTAGGCAGGCAGGCAGGCAGGCATGCAGGAAAGCGGTTAAGAGCCAGCAGTTCCGGACTATGAGAGGGATGTCCAAGATTAGAGAGGATGCAGGCCAGGCTGAGGGACCGCCCCATCCCATGCACAAATTTCATGCACCAGGCCTCTAGTTATTAAATAAAAAGCATTTTAAACATTTTTCCAAATTATTACCTTGTCTTTATAGCTATTATTTTTTAAAGCTGAGTAATATTCTGTGAAATATATGTTCCCTTCATTGATATAGTCATTTTTATTTTTTGCTTTTTAGCACTTCTAATCATTTAAAAGGGGGGAGGTTGCAATGAACATATTCATGCCCATACCTTTCTATATTTGGGGTCATTGACTTAGAGAAAATCCCTAGAAATGAGATTATTAACACAGAAAACAACATCCTTTCGGCTTTTGAAATACCTCTAAATCCCCGTGGCCACTATACTATGTATTTGTTTTCTATACAATTGATCTGCTCTGGCAAGGGGGGGATTTCTCATTCATGAAACATAGAAGTTTATTACAGGAAACAGCCTTGGAAACTTCATAGCACCCAGCTGACCTAACCAGAAAGGTATACGTCAAGTTTATGGCCATTTGCTCCTAGTGTCCATTTCCAGACCTGAGAGGCTCTGAAGTCTCTGAAAATGGGGTTTGCTTATGGAGCCACGTGGTCTTAGGCACTTCCCCTCATTCTGCCGCAGGGTCCCCACATGACAGCACTACTTTGTGCC